CGGTTCAATAGCCAATTGAGTTATCTTTCCAAGATTCCTTTTGAATCTCTCTCCCCTCACCCGGGGAGACCCACGTGACCAGTTTTGGAAGTGAGCAACAAGTACAAGTGTGTGTATGTGTGTGTGTGTGTGTGTGTGTGTATGTGTGTGTGTGTGTGTTTGTGCGCGTCCTCAGCCCTTGCAAAGACCCTTGGAGTGCCTGAGGACATTGGTCACATCGGACAGGAGCGTCGTTTGCGCTGGCTTGGACACGTGACACGGATGGAAGATGACCGGTTGCCCAAGTGTGTTCTCTTCGGTGAACTGCCTGCCCCGCGTCCCGCGCATGGTCCACGCAAGAGGTGGAGGGACGTCATTATGGATGACGTTTCCTCGGTTGAGCCACCGGTACCAACATGTTGATGGTACGGTGCATCCCAGAACAGTCCGGAGTGGCGTACCATTGCCCGTCGACCACCCAAGGCACCCTCTGCTGCTGGATATGGTTGCGCCTGCGGCCGCACGTTCCGTCGAAGTGGCGACCTGAAACGCCATCGGTCGTGCTGTCGTGGACTGGAGAATTAACTATGCGCTATCATTGCTAAGCAATGGGCAAGGTAAAGGTGTGTGTGTACAGCATGTGTGTGCATGTATGTGCATGGATGTGCATGAATGTGTGTGTGTGTGTGTGTGTGTGTGTGTGTGTGTGTTTCCGGAGCAAAGCTGGGCACCGCCGGCACAACTGCAACTGCAACCGCAGAACATGCAGCTCTGGCTCCGAGCGCCGCACCATCCCATGCCCGACCTGCTCTCGGAAGTTCACACGTCTCCAGTACCTGGCTCAACACAAATGCAAGAAGTAACTCTGCCCTCCTTGCCTCTTTGAGGCACTGCATCACCTTTAGGTGGCAGTTTCAAGGTTCAAGGTGTGTGTGTGTGTGTGTGTGTGTGTGTGTACAGTATATGTGTTTGTGTGTGTATATTGTGTGCCACGAACCTTTCTGCCGGTTGCTGCCATATTAGTCCTTTCTCTATCATTGCCTCTGGCAATGGGCAAGTTCAAGGTTCAAGTATGTGTGTGTGTATAGTCATGCACACACTCTCGTGTGTGGTTGAGTTCGCTAGACAAAGTGACCGTGCATGGGCACGAGGTTTCCGTCATGTCGATGGTTTTGGAATTACGTACCGTGTTTTCTGGAGACAACGCCGCACTTTGAACACTCAAAATTCACCCAAAAGAATGGCTTATATTCCAATGACCAAAATAACAGTGATCATCAAATAGATGTCTGTATTTCATGGCAAAAAAATGTGTTGGGGGGGGGGGGAGGGGGTGCGGCTTATACTCCGGAAAATACGGTACTGTATGACTTGTAATGTAAAATATAAATTTCTCCTAACCTTGTTAGTGGAATTTGTGTCATTGCTCATCGGGTATGGGGTTGCGACGCCTTGTTGGTTATTTAGTAGGAACAACAAGTTACGCTATAATGTCCACGAACACCACCAGTTACTTGACAATCAGCTCATGCATGTTGAATCTTTAGAGCCACACAAGTTGTGTGCTATGTTGCTATGTGTCCTTGAATCTTGGTTTGACCGTACTGTCCAATGGTCTTGCCAGTATCGTCATGGACATGCATGTACATCGGCCTTCACAGCTAAGACTTTCAGCTTGTGCTTGTCTTGGTTGTGCTCACCTTCCCCTCCTATGTTATCATGTAACTAAGAACATTCCAAGTTGGAATGCTGTTGGAGTGCGCATCCAAGACTTGCTAGAGCTGATAGCCAGTTAGTTGTAGAAGGTCAGTACCGTCGGTCAGTGCCGTGCAATGTTATCGCATGAGTTGATTGTCCTGTGACACAGGGGTGTTGGACATGCTACGGTCACTACGCTATTGCCCGTATCACTTTTTGGCCCCAGGTACCACCCCGTGAACCAAAAAAATATACTGATTTGGACTCTAAATTTCCAAAATTTCGACTCAGCCACCCCTCCCCCACGAGTAACTTGTACTTCAGATGGCTGACCTTACCACACTATAATACCTTCAGACGCCTCTGTAACTGATGGTGATAGGGCCACAATGAAGAAGGTGTGTGGTTCGACTAACATGGACATTTTTTTTACGGGCGGGCGGGCGGATTTTTTTTTTTTAAATATATTTTTTAGTACATGTAAATACACTGTACTGCCTTTAGACACCCAGTACATCGGCATTATTACGCAGTGTTATGCCATACATGTTGTATAAAGGGATCACTGGCTAATACTTTGAAACATTGTGTAGCTCTGGAACGAGAAGAGAATAACTTCAAGCGGTGACTTGACTCTGACTGTCCAAATCATCAAGCAAATGAAGAACGATGCGAGTTGAAAGTAAGTTCGGGAACTACTTCGAAGTACAAATTGTACAATGTACCGGTACATGTATTGCTAGTTTGGTGTCGGCGTGCACGAATACATGGGCTTTTTCCATCGACGCTTCCTGTGCTTGCAGCCTTGCACACATGGAGCAGCAACTTACCGGTACAGGTGAAATATCGTTCCCAATACACGAGGAAAGTGCAATCTCGTCTGTCCTTCATCCCAAAACAGAAGGCCGTCCTTAATCTGGAACGAGGCAATCACTCTCAACCGGACGGTCACTTCAAAATAAGTCTCGCCAGTCTGCCGGTGGTCGTATCGAGTAGACTCTACTACCCTGACTACCAGCACAAGGCAGCAGTCGTACCACTCACTGCACTGCACTGCAGTACAACTACAAGTCAAGTCCAAAAGGAGCCGCCTGCGTCCGCAGACTCACGCTGCACAGCACGTAGACGTGGACGTGTTCAGTCCACGTACATTTGTACGTCAGTCACACGACAGCCCGCCGAAAAAAAGTTACGGTCGGGCTGAAAAATGTACGGTCGGTCGGGTGAGTCGAACCACAGACCTTCTTCAGTGTGGCCTAGTGGACTTTATAACGTAACTTGCAGTTCCTTGGTGGGTTTTTTGTGTTTTCTTGGTTGAGCCGACGGTTTCATTTCTATGTTCTGTAGTGATTGGCCTGTGGAAACAATGATCCAAGTGGATGTCATTGTGTTCTATGTATGTGCCTTTTGCGACAGGTTCAAGGCAATATGCACGTCATGAAGCATTCGGCCCGTGATCTCAGTGTCTGGTAGCTATGTAGCCGTTGTTGTATGGGTGATCAAAGATGATACTCTGCATATCAATGTAAGTGTGAAGTATTTGTGCTCTGCCCATACAACAGCAACAACGACAGAGTTGCATAGCCAGTGGCTGGCAATGGTGAAGTAATCATATGAATATGTGTTAGTATTCCTGACCTATTGTAAGCAAGTAAGCTCATCATTACTACAAGACTAATAGTATTACTAGCAGCAGACATGACGTCATTCTCCTGTTTACATACCTCTAATATCTGTATCTACAGCTGCAGCAGCAGTGGGTACCATGGCAACACAGTACACACTTTATCTCCCTCCCATGTTCAGTTTTACTGCTCTGCATACACCATCGTGGTGTGGTTGGCGTGTGTTGTGTGGTTTTGTTCTCAGCATCTTCAGCATAGTACACGTAGTGAATCATGTAGAGGGGACGGTTTCAAATAGGACACCGGTTGCAAAACGGAACGGACTCAATATTCACTTTCTCTCTTGGTATTTTGATTAGAAAACACATGTCACAGTGAGACTACGATGTGTTATACTCCGAGCCAAAATTTCATGGCACTGCGATGACCAGAAGCGCCATATCAAGCAGGTGAGTTTTTGACGTGTTGCTTCGCTCTGCGACTTGAGTTTTACGACTTTCGAAAAATCAACTTCTTGTCGCAGGTAAACAGCGGCTCGCCTCTCGCCAATAAAGCACTGCATACCAATCAAAACTAATGGAAGCACACACAAGGCTTATTGTTACTCTGTACTGGCCGTCGTGGAGCGATAGCAATTACCTAATTTCAGACCCAGAGTGAATTTGACGTGCACTCTAAAACGTGTCCGGTTTGGAGCCACCTCTGATTTGAACTTTTTTGAAGCGAAAAATTGGGCAACTTGGAGGCAATGGGTCGACACAAAGGAGTGGCTCAGTTCGATTGACTCTGGCCCCAGAGCAAACTTCAACATGCCAGTTTCCTTCCACAAACATATTTCGAGTGAAAAATCAACGCTGATGATCGGTTTGGGTCCATACAAATTTGGCTGTCAAAACGTCCCGGTATCGAGCCGTCCCCTCTACAGGGTTACTTTCCATCGCCTGCTGCCTCCGCCGTCGTATACGTATCATTTTTATTGAGATGACGTGAGTTTACCATGATCAGTGATTTCCCCGTCACCCCGGCTTGCGTGCTGTCATACTGAAAGCTTTCCAATCTATTGAATCTATCCTTTTTGTTCTTGCCTGCAACAGCAATCAACACTCTATGATCTATTTACTGTTGTTTTGTACGTCGCTGCACGTTTGAGCCAGCTACACTGCACTCGTGTGTGTATATGTGTACGGTCTGTCTGAATATCTATAGTCACATGACCAGTGCATGGTTACATCATCAAGAGTACACACAGCTGTACTGTGGGGTGCTGAAGAACGGTTGGGTTATGTGAAAAACGGACATGCAGGCTGGAATTTCACCCTGGCACAGCATACCAATGTATAGACAGTAACTCAACTGTGCATAAACCATAGTACATGAAAATAGGAATGCTCTAGGCTACTACCAGGCTCACCCCCCAGTTCTTTCTAACCCAACAGTACAGTGTAAGTTTGACATCATCTACATGCAGTAGATATCCGCAAAGTTACATGGTGCAATGTACTATGTGTACTGGGGGTAATAAAATAATGACCTCTCTGGAATGGTGCGCTGTACTGGGGGTAATAATGCCCTCTCTGGAATGGTGCACTCTATTGGGGGGTAATAATGCCCTCTCTGGAATGGTGCCCTCTATTGGGGGTAATAATGCCCTCTCCGTGGAATGGTGCCCGGGGTGCAGTGCAGACCGTGACTGCAAGCTTGAGATCAAGGAAATACATTACAGGTTTATCATGTGTGATGAGGTGATGCAGCAAGGCCGCAAATGCAGTGTGGACTGAGAGCACTGGAGTTACCGCACGTCTGGTCACAGCAAGACTAGATAAATTCTTGGTCACAGCAAGACTAGATAAACTCTTGGTCACAGTCATTCGGACCAGCACAGTATTGTAAAACCGGAAAGTCTAACGAGTCACAAAGTCTAACGTTTTAACGACCAATTTTTTAAATTGATTTTTCGTTATTTGACAAAAAACGTTATCGCTAGATGTCTGTGTAAAGATGCGCATACAGATGGGCAGCCAGGTAGCCATCGTTAAACTTTCTGCACGTAATCATGCCAAAATTACAAAAAAAGGTAAACTTTTTGGTGGTTTTAAACTTTCCGGTTTTACAGTACCGGCTACAGGTGATCAAGCGTACCACCAGCAAACGTACCACCAGCAACAATGAATGTATTTGATTAAATGGTGGCATTGGTGTCAATATTGACAAACACGTACATCAGCAATCGACTATCAGAGCAGAAGCAGAAGATCAGTGAACACCATCAGTATAATTATACTGTATATACATATCTATAAGACTATTGTACAGTGTACTCAGCACTTGCTGGTGACAATAACCACATCAACAAAACCAACAGAAGAATCGTGACTGCGGAGAGCTACGTAGTGTGCAACAGTATGAACAGAAGTATTGTCTGCAACATCAGCAGTTGCACTACCAGTAACATCATGTATTCTTGTGTGTATACTTGACTGTGAGGAATTATATCCGTAAATCCTAGAATAAGCAGAAAACTGATGATTGAACTGTTTCTTCAGCAGAGTCATGCATGCTACACAATACAATCATTGAAAACAGTACACACACAAATTACATTCTACTCAAGTGAATTCAATACTCAGTGTGATGTGTGCTGCACGCCTACACACATGCACGCGCACACACACACACACACACACACACACACACACACACACACACACACACACCATTCAGTGGAAGTTGTGCAATCATTGACTGTTGGTTGGTAGATCAAACTTGAACATTACGTCAGCTCTGTCCTTGCCTACTCCTTCAGCAACGGCTGGAAGTGATAGAATGTTTTTAAAGAAGACATTATACATGCATGCACACACACACACACACACACACACACACACACACACACACACACACACACACACACACACACACGCACAAACACACACACATACACACACACACGATGCACACAATGATGCATGCACAAACACACGTACGCACACACACACACACATGCACACAAATCGCACAAAAATGTTGGCCTTCTGGAAAGACAGGCAGTTCGTAGGCAGTACGGTCATTCTCGTATACAAATTCAACACACAAAGAAATGACCTGCATATAGAAAATAGAAAAGAAAAATGACCAAGGAACTACAAGTTACGCTATGATATCCACTAACACCACCATTAACCCAGGCCCACGTGTAAACACCCAGGTCTCCGGGCATACCTCTGCATATGCACATGTGCAAGCGCATGCGCACGCACACACACACACACACATTCATGTACACAAACATAATTGCAGACACTCCAACGCCCCGTCTGTGCGTACAACGACGTACTCGCGCACGCACTCACAAGCAATCAGCACATAAGTTGGGAGTTGCCATGACTTCATTTTGATTACTTCAGCAAAGTGATGATAGACCAGTTCCAAGAAAGCAAACGATAATATTTGCGTCATATCATCACATTCGGTCGTCAGTAATTCACACTGCCCACCGGGGGCAGACGCACAAACGGCCCACCATAATATTGTATGTGTGTGGTGTGACGCCTCATGCCAGGCAGTTGTGCGAGTTCTTGGCGTCGGTGGTCGTTTGTTTGCCCTCGCTGGGCAGTATGAGGTCGGCCCTAGCGGGCAGTATGGGCTATAATCATGCGCTCTCGGTCGGGCTATAATCATGCGCTCTCGATCGGGCTATAATCATGCGCTCTCGGTCGGGCTATAATCATGCGCTCTCTGTCTGGCTATAATGATGCGCTCTCGATTGGGCTATAATCATGCGCTCTCGGTCGGGCTATAATCATGCGCTCTCTGTCGGGCTATAATCATGCGCTCTCTGTCGGGCTATAATCATGCGCTCTCTGTCGGGCTATAATCATGCGCTCTCGGTTGGGCTATAATCATGCGCTCTCGGTCGGGCTATAATCATGCGCCCTCGGTCGGGCTATAATCATGCGCTCTCGGTCAGGCTATAATGATGCGCTCTCTGTCGGGCTATAATGATGCGCTCTCGATCGGGCTTTAATCATGCGCTCTCGGTTGGGCTATAATCATGCGCTCTCGGTCGGGCTATAATCATGCGCTCTCGGTCGGGCTATAATCATGCGCTCTCTGTCGGGCTATAATCATGCGCTCTCTGTCGGGCTATAATCATGCGCTCTCGGTCGGGCTATAATGATGCGCTCTCGGTCGGGCTATAATCATGCGCCCTCGGTCGGGCTATAATCATGCGCTCTCGGTCGGGCTATAATCATGCGCTCTCTCTCGGGCTATAATCATGCGCTCTCGGTCGGGCTATAATCATGCGCTCTCAATCGGGCTATAATCATGCGCTCTCGGTCGGGCTATAATCATGCGCTCTCGGTCGGGCTATAATCATGCGCTCTCGGTCGGGCTATAATCATGCGCTCTCGGTCGGGCTATAATCATGCGCTCTCGGTCGGGCTATAATCATGCGCCCTCGGTCCGGCTATAATCATGCGCTCTCGGTCGGGCTATAATCATGCGCTCTCTGTCGGGCTATAATCATGCGCTCTCGGTCAGGCTATAATCATGCGCTCTCTGTCGGGCTATAATCGTGCGGTCTCGGTCGGGCTATAATCATGCGCTCTCGATCGGGCTATAATCATGCGCTCTCGGTCGGGCTATAATCATGCGCTCTCTGTCGGGCTATAATCATGCGCTCTCGATCGGGCTTTAATCATGCGCTCTTGGTTGGGCTATAATCATGCGCTCTCGGTCGGGCTATAATCATGCGCTCTCGGTCGGGCTATAATCATGCGCTCTCTGTCGGGCTATAGTCATGCGCTCTCTGTCGGGCTATAATCATGCGCTCTGGGTCGGGCTATAATGATGCGCTCTCGGTCGGGCTATAATCATGCGCCCTCGGTCGGGCTATAATCATGCGCTCTCGGTCGGGCTATAATCATGCGCTCTCTCTCGGGCTATAATCATGCGCTCTCGGTCGGGCTATAATCATGCGCTCTCGATCGGGCTATAATCATGCGCTCTCGGTCGGGCTATAATCATGCGCTCTCGGTCGGGCTATAATCATGCGCTCTCGGTCGGGCTATAATCATGCGCTCTCGGTCGGGCTATAATCATGCGCTCTCGGTCGGGCTATAATCATGCGCCCTCGGTCCGGCTATAATCATGCGCTCTCGGTCGGGCTATAATCATGCGCTCTCTGTCGGGCTATAATCATGCGCTCTCGGTCGGGCTATAATCATGCGCTCTCGGTCGGGCTATAATCATGCGCTCTCGGTCGGGCTATAATCATGCGCTCTCGGTAGGGCTATACGCTTCTCTCGCACCCTCAGTTGGGCAGTATGCTTTAACCCTCGATGGGTAAGCTGTTGGCCTGGGCGGCCGTTCATGCGCCCGCAGCGTGCAGGTTTCTGGCCATGTCGGCCATTCGTCCGCCCTCGGTGGGCAGTATGCTAACGGTCCACAGCGGGCAGGATTACTTAGCCCTCAGTGGCTTGGCTGTTGACCTCCCCAGCCGCTTATGTCACCGGCCCACGGTGGGCAGCTGCAGGCTAGCCCTCATTGGCCAAGAACTCACACAACTGCCTGGCATGAGGCGTCACACCACACACATACAATATGATGGTGGGCGATTCGTGCGTCTGCCGGCGGTGGGCGGTGCGAATTACTGACGACCGAATGTGATGATATGACGCAAATATTATCGTTTGCTGTCTTGGAACTGGTCTATCATCACATACTATTATATTTAATATATTTAATCAAAATGAAGTCATGGCAACTCCCAAACCTATGTGTTCAGTGCTTGTGAGTGTGTGCGTGAGTACACCGTTGTACGCACAGACGGGACGTAGGAGTGTCTGCAATTATGTTTATGCACATGAATGTGTGTGTGTGTGTGTGTGTGTGTGTGTGTGTGTGTGTGTGTGTGTGTGTGTGTGTGTGTGCCAGCTAGTTCAGTTGGTAGCTACACTTATGCCTGATTGTGTTGGGTCTGTTGCCAACAGGCTCGGCTGCTTGAAGGTGTAATGTTGTACCTGCCACCTTTGTTGGTTCCAGGGTTCGTATACTTTCTATTTGAAGTATACATACCTGTTAACCATGGACTGCTTCTGGCTAGATTAACTCTTGTGTAATCAATGGTGCTAGTGAAGCTTTTATCAGATCCACTCTGATTTAGCCACTCACACTAGTAGCAAGTATTACCTTCACTGGGGGCAGGGGTAACTGCAGTTGGATCCCGGGACGGATACCCTGATACCGTCAATCCTTTTTCTGCACCTTGTCCTCACCCACTTACTGAGGTGTGGTGAGCCCATAAGTGGGATCATTTTCAAGTCCACCCAGAGTTTTGGGGATTTCAGGGGTGTCGGCCGTTGGGCGGTTCAATAACCAATTGAGTCATCTTTCCAAGATTCCTTTTGAGTCTCTCTCCCCTCTCCCGGGGGGGGGACTCACGTGACCAGTTTTGGCAGTGAGCAACAAGTACAGTACAGTACAGTGTGTGTGTGCGTGCGTGTGTGTGCGCGTGTATGTGTGTGTATGTGTATGTGTGTGTATGTGTATGTGTGTGTGTGCCGTTCATCCTGCGATGTTGACTCCCGCATTGCGAATGCCTCCCGAGCGTGTGGCGCTTTGCAAAAGTCCATCTTTGGCAACAAGCACCTGGACCTCCACATCAAGAGGTGTGTGTTCAACGCCTGTGTCTTGTCGCTCTTGCTGTACGGTTCGGAGTGTTGGACGCCTCTTCAACGGGATTTGCAGCGGCTCTCTGTCTTCCACCACCGATGCATCCGCTCAATCATGGGAGTGTCTCGCCAAGAATGCTGGGATGACCACATCACCAATCACCAACTACGTGTGAGGTGGGGTGATCCCGACACCATCCGCACGAAGGTGGAGCACCGCCGCCTTGAATGACTCGGGCATGTTGCTCGGATGGAGGACCACCGGCTGCCGAAGCAAGTTCTCTTTGGCACGCTTCCGTCGCGTCGCCCAGCTCATGGCCCTCGTCGGCGCTGGAAGGATTGTATCATGTCTGACCTTCGTTCTCGCGGCCTCGAGGGGGAATGGCGAGCTGAATGCGAGTCGCGTTCCACCTGGCGCTCGGCGTACTCAGCACCGGTAGATGCCCAGCATACCCCTCCCGTCACCTGCTACACCTGCGACCGACAGTTTACGCGCCCCAGTGATCGCACACGCCACAAATGTAAGGCTGAGCGTGCGAAGCCGGTTGCGGAGCAGAAAGGTGCATGCCAGTGTGGAGAGTGTGGCCGTTGGCTGAAGTCCCGTGGAGGTCTGGCAAGGCACAAGTGTACTTACCCCCAGTCAGCAGTCGGTGCGCCCCTGCCGCTGCCTGCTTCTCCGCTGTGCTGCGTCGCTCACTGCCAGGCTTGTGACCGCTGCTTTGCGTCTACACGTGGCCGCGCCCGTCATCGATGCTCGCGGACTTGTAGTCGTCCGACCGTTCAGGACCGTCAGGGTTTCACGTGTGTTTGCGCCTGCTCCCGCCGATTTCGCTTACCGCATCACCTGGATCGTCACCGGGCTGTGTGCTCCTCCTCTCTCTCAGCTGCCCCTCCGGGGCCCACGTGACCTTCATGGCAGTGGCTCAACAGGACAGGACAGGACAGGTGTGTGTGTGTGTGTGTGTGTGTGTGTGTGTGTGTGTGTGTGTGTGTGTGTGTGCGCATGTGCATGCCCTTGCGCCTGTGCGTATGCAGAGGTATGCCCGCAGACCTGCGCGTCTACCCGTGGGCCTGGGTTAAAAGCTAAAACTGCATTTTGACACATGAAGAAATCAACTGCAAAGGAACGCTCCTTCACATCCCGACAATTCAAGAGCTTGAAGAAGACACGTCTTCCGATATGACACCATAACACTAACAGGATGTCTGTACAATTTTGCCAGCTTGTAAATCGTGCAGGGACAGTCACGTGACACACACTCACAGCAATATGCCAATATTGCGCGTGTGCCAGGGCTAACTAGACTTTGCTGTGCAAAGCCTACATGTTACTGAACAATCAGCTCATGCGATAACATTACACGACACTGACCGACGCTACTGGCATTCTACAACTAACTGGCTAAAGCGCGATGCACAATATCACTTATGCGACGCGATGAGCGACGAGCGATGCGATCAAAATGTTTTTCTGCAAGATTTTGAATCGCACCTCCGTCGCAGGTCGCATTGCGGAAAGTTGAGCCTAGTTCAACTTCTGCGACAAGCGACGAGCAATGTGCATCACTTTCTACACGGCGGGCGCACGTGACAGCTCGCGTACAGTTTTGGACTGTGCATGCCCTGCAACGATGTGCCATGCATTGTGCATCAAAGACTCTTCGTGCGATTCGAAAAAGACTTTTGCTCGACGCTCATCGCATCGCAGAAGTGATAGTGTGCATGGCGTTTTACTACTCCCTGGTACAGACCAGGATGTAGTAAAATACTGTTATTTTACTACTCCCTGGTACAGACCAGCTGAGGTGGACGTTTGCTGCAGACTTTATGGTACTGGTCAAGTACACACATCTGTAGATTGAGAGTCTGGCTAGGGTGACTAGTGTAGTGTCTGTCTGATCATCATTATTCATCAACAAACAGGTGTACCCGTATTTCATACACTGATCAACACTGTACAACACATACCTGGGAATATGCTGATGTTGTGCAACGTCTTCCTGCAATCAATCCGAGATGAACTCCAGGACAGTAGACTTGCTATACCGTAGCACGGAATTGTACAATGGAGGTCGAAGCTTGTCCATAGAGCATGGGTTCCCGTACAAGTGTACACCCTCCATCCTCATGATGTCTGGTGACTGCAGCATGGCTTGAATGCTATCATCGGTGATCTTGCAGTACTCGAGGCTGATCAATCTCAAGCTTGTGTTCTTCCTCATCATATCCACCAGGGCATGCACTGTGGCATCACCAATCTCATTGTGTGCCATATCCATCCATTTTTTTGTAATAGGCGCATGGTGATGGAGAGAGCGTAGGATACTTTCACCAACTTCATCACTCATGCCCGTCTTGGCAAATGAAATGAAGCGCAGCAGGTGGAATCCAGAGAGACGCTGGCATAGCAGTTTGAAATCAGCATGACTGGGCTGTATATCATGAAACACTGGGTTGTCCTCCAGACCCAATGCACTGACATGACATTGTGATTGTGGTGATGTCACTGCTTGTAGTATACTCACAACACCAGATAGCTGTATCCTATTGCTGGTCAGACGAAGGTATTTCAGCACTTTGTTGTGAGCAAGGCCAGATGTTGCCAGAGCAGTTGCTCCAGCATCGGTGATATTACTCTCGGCTATGTCCAGTAGGTCTAGGTCAGTGTTGGTTGCAAGGTACTGACCAAGTGATGACATCATGGAGTCGTCGCACTTGCCTTCTAAGTCACCATAACATTGATAGACAAGCTTTTCAATTGACTTAGACCGTACTGAAGTACCAGTAGCATAGCGGTTGCCAATGTCGATTACGTCACCACCACATTGACTAGACGTAGCCACTTCCTGTAGAAGACGGATTGTTACACCAGTGCTGTTCAGATACAAAATGCACGTTGGTAGTTTTGCGCTCCCAGTGTGCTCACGACCGCGACGAGCTTGCAGAAAGTCAACCACACTAGCGGCTAGCTCATCAGTCAGTCTGGTGTTGGCAAACAAGAGATGCCGTATGGTATCATGAGAATGGAGACTGGATAGTACACATGACACGTCACTGTTGGAGAGTGAGTTGTCACTCAGCCATAGAGCTTTAAGGTGTGGTAACTTTGTAACCAGTGTTGCCAGGTCAGATCCACATCCACTATCCAGACTGCACCTTCCCAGTGATAGATGTGTGAGATGATCACACGGAGCCAAGTTGCTCACAAATGCTGCCAAACCATCATTGCCTAGCTGAGTCCCGCCTGCGTACAGGTGCAGTAGACTTGGGTGTTTTACACATCCAGCAAGTGCTGCTCCATCTTCAGATCCACTGGTCAACTTTGTGTTGCTAATGTCAAGAATCTGGAGGGTACGCTGTTCTGATGTAGACAGTGTGCTTGATATTCTTGCCAATGGTTCTGCAGTGAGATTGGCATCATACAAAGTCACCTTGACGCATTTATCCAGTTGATCAGACAGCCAAGAGACACCGTCACTTGACAGATAACAACCGCTGAGATCCAGAGACTTTACATGGCCTACAAGCTCCAAAACAGTATGTAAAGCCATCACATCAACAACTTCAAGGTGGATTCCACTAACATCAATTCCATCACCTGCCAGGAGGCTGGCTGACAGAGCATAGCAGCTATGGGTGACTATGTCAGTGTCCTGATTGGGATTTCCCTGAGTGTGGGTATGTTGGAGTGAAATGCTGTTTTCCATCAAACTTCTCATCATGAACAGAAGCATCTTCTTCTTGCTCTTGACAGTATGATCACTGATGCTGTTTTCAGACTGTAGAGCCAACAATGATGAAAATAGAATGTCTGGCTTCAGTGCTCCAAAGACAAACTGCCAGAAGACAAGTGTGTTCAAGTCTGTGCCGACAGTGTTGATGCAGCTGCGGATGATGTCTGCGCACGAGTCAGAAGAAATGATGCATCTCGATGCACACCACTCTTGCAGTGTCAAGTGAGTCAAGGACACAGTCTGAGTGGAACCGACGAACGACGGATGCATACCAGGGTTGAGCAGTAAGCCGAGATCTTGACAAATGGACTGGTGGAGGGTTGACAGCGTGGATGTAAACGTAGCCATGCCCCTTTGATATGTTGCAAGACACATTGTGTAGAGATTGTGCAATGCCTTGACTAGCTCCACAGCATGGTGATCACACTCCTCATCATTGTTGCTTGTCTCCTTCACATAGCGCTCCAAATGATGTTCTATTACCACGGGGATACTGACAAGATCACCACAACTGAAGTGCCGGCCACCACTGCAGTGACTGATGACGTCATGTGCAAGCCGTACTTGACCAAACTTTCCTCGTCGCTTTTCCAGCTTTGCGACTGAGGAGCGTAAGTAGTGGTCGTAGAAAAGTGTCACACTGGAGGGTAGAGAGTTGTTGATGGGATATTGCTGAACGAGCAGAGCACATAGGAGTGGAGATTGTCGAATGGCTTCCTTCAGCAGACAGTTGGTCGGCTGCGAGAGCTCTGCCATGCACTGCTTCGCAACCTCCTCTCCGAGCCGTCGTGAGCAGTACGCAAAGAGCTGGTCTGCCGAGAAGCCGAGGAGTCGAAAACGTAAGCGGAAATGCTGTATGTGCTGATACGCTTTATCAGATGGTCGGCTAGTTGCGATTACAATCGCATCAGGTAGTAGTGAATAGTTACTGCTGCTGCTCCTCAATATTACAGCTTGGGCTGCTGATCCTTTGCCAAACCCACCACTGCCAAGTTCGTCGATGCCATCAATAATGATCAATACCTGGTCGGAATGCTCAGAGAGGTAATTGAGCAGTGAAGATTGGTCCTGTGTACTGATGCGCAACTGGTCCAAACCAAGAAATACACACCAATCTGTTGACTGTATACGTGTCAAATCACGGCATGGCACGTAGAAAATGAATTCAATCTTTGCCAGATTCCCAGTCTTTGTCTCCATGATGTCGGCGATGACTCGTTTGCTCAGTGTTGTCTTTCCCTGCCCAGCGTTCCCAATTACGATGCAACTTTCCAGAATGTCTGTGTCAACTGTGTCATCACCACCACCAACACCAGCACCACTTTTGCCAGCGCTAGTTACACCTTCATAATAATGGGGATCAGACAAGAGCTGCTTAGCGCTGGACAGAACAAACTGCCTTCCTCCTTCCACTTTGTCACTCTTATCTTGTCTAGCTCCTGGGATAGCAACGCCTGTTGCACGGTCAGATATTGGCTGTCTTCCAGTGACACGGCGAGTTGCAGGTCGTTGCGCACGATACGTCAGCTGCAGAGCATCTTTCTCCGTCAGAGCCTGCATGGGCACGAAGCAATCCTTGACATCGCCGGACAAGCTAGTTAGATCTGAATGATCAGCGGTCGTCTCGCACAGATTTTTATTCACTCTGTGCAGATGTTGTTTAAGACGTTGAATGTGCCCACCATTGTCTGCTCCATCATCATTCACTAACAGTATATTACATGTCACTGTGCCATCGTTAGCTGTGTTGCTGCCTGCACGCATAGTAGCAACATCAACTGTGGTGAAACACAGGACAGGAAAGAGGAAAAAGAACAAATTGTTTGATGGTATATCATTGTACAGATGTACTGTGATGATATGTTGACAAGTATATTCCTAAATGTAGATAGTGTGTGTGTGTGTGTGTGTGTGTATGTGTGTGTGTGTGTGTGTGTGTGTGTGTGTGTGTGTGTGTATGTGTGTGTGTGTGTGTGTGTGTGTGTGTGTGTCCTTGTACTCGTGGGGGACGGTTTGCCTTTTTCGAGCTCCAGTTTTCTCTGGTCAAAACCTTTCAGTATACTCTCTCCAAGCCGGAGGCCAGCAAAGCGCTTTCGACGAGGGGACCGACACAGCTAAATGACGGGACGGCGTTTGATGCCGTCACCTTTGACTGCGCCCTTCATCGCCACTCGCGGAGGTTTGACAAGCCCCCGAGTGGATTCCATCACGCGCCATGAAATTTGTTGAAGAGAGGAGAGAGAGAAGGAGATGCCATCTGTTGCGCTTTGGATGCTGGAATGTCAGGTCCCTGGTGGAGCGAGACGGAGCCATTGAGACGGCAAGCGTTTCTGGCCGAGTAGTTGAAAACAAAAAAATAAATCGGGGTGTGGCGGAACTACGGAGGTTTGATATCGCCGCAGCAGGCCTGCAGGAGACTCACTGGTTTGGACAGGAGAGCTACGTCGTGGATGGTTTCACTATCCTCAGCTCTGGCCGTCCATCTCCTGGCACAGTCGACTCTCGCCGCCGAGGAGAAGGAGTCGCAATTGTTTTGGATCGTTGCGCTGCGAGCGCGTGGAGAGCTGGTGGCTGCGTCTGGAAGGCGGTGAGTTCTCGCGTTGTATCTGCCCGCCTGCAGTTCGCCCTCGTTGATGGGTCAGCTAAGAGTTTCACTCTGGTTTGTGCCTACGACCCGACTTACGCAGCTAGTCGCACCGTGAAAGAAAAATTCTTTGACGATGTCCAAAGTGTCTTGTACGACGTTCCACCATCTGATTGTTGTGTCGTAGTTGGCGATTTCAACGCACGGGTTGGTTCAGGCCAAAGGGGCGATGAGTGGTCCGATGTGCGAGGCACTCACGGGTATAACACCATGAATGCATCAGGAGCTGAGCTACTGTCATTTGCTGCTTCCAATCAACTGTGTATATGCAACACCTGGTTCCCTAAACGGAACATTTTCAAACAGACCTGGCAGCACCGTGGCACGCTGCAGTGGCACTGCATATACATACTTGTGCGGCAAGACGACTGCCATCTATGCACCGACGTGGCCGTCATCCGGAGTGCTGAATGCGGCAGCGACCACCAACTGCTATATATGGCTTTGCAGCTTCCATCGCCGGTGCGGCACGGGGCGCAGAGCAAGGATAGTGTTCGGCGCCGGTTTGACGTTGCACAGCTAAAGGACTGTCGCACGTCTTCCCCTGAAGATCCTACGCCTACCGATATATACCAGGCAGTGATCAAGGAGGAGATCGACCGCAACTGGCTTGAGAATGCCAACATTAGTGAGAAATGGTCCTCTATCAAGTCCACCCTTGACACTGCTGCATCCACAGCCCTTGGAATCACCAAACGGCGTCAGCCGGACTGGTTCCAGGAAGCCCTGCCAAACATCCAACACCTACTGGACACGCGGAATTCGGCCTACGAGGATTGGCTTTGCCGGGGCCAGCAGCGAGACACTCCGTTTCATCAGGAGCTTAAGGCAGCCCGCTCGAACGCACGCGCAGCAATCGATATGGCCAGAGTGGACTGGATCAAATCTAAAGCTCGGGCGGCCACCGACGCCCGTTTCAATGGCGCTGTCGTGTGGAAATGTATCCATGACCTCCAGTCTGCTGGGCGCGGCCTTCAACCAGTACGAACAGCAGCGATCGTTGACGAGAACGGAAATATATGCACGTCACCGCGTTGCAGGGACAGCGCTGGGGAAGGCACTTCTCTGGAGTGCTCAACGTCATGAGCACTTGGACACCGAACGCGCTGAATGGTGTCCCTCAACTACCGCTTGCCGAAGACCTTGCTGAACCTCCCACGCTGCGCGAAGTGTGCCGCGCCGTTGCTCGCTTGAAGAATGGCACGGCTGCTGGAGCCTCGGGCGTCTTGCCGAAGATGGTGAAGGCAGGGGGTGAGTCGCTGAACAACAAGCTTGTGGAGCTATTCGGAGATGTGTGGCGTGCCAGCCAAGTGCCGCAGGAGTGAGTAGACGCTACCCTGGTACCAATTCCGAAAAAAGGGGACCTGACCCGATTCGACAACTGGCGTGGCATCGCGCTGCTCGATGTTGTCGGCAAGGTCCTGGCGTGTCTCATTCAGACGAGACTCCAGGGCCTGGCCAGCAGCTTCCTCCCGGAATCACAATGCGGCTTTCGGCGAGGCAGATCCTGCACGGACATGGTGTTCAGCGTACGTCAGCTGCTCGAGAAGACCATCGAGCATACAGCCAAGGGTTTCTTCGTCTTCATTGACCTGAAGAAGGCCTACGACTCCGTGCCCCGTGAGTGCCTCTGGCAGGTGCTCTCCCGTGCTGGTGTCCCCCCCCCCCCTGCTTGCAGTCATCCGATCTTTCCACCGTGAGATGTATGCAGTATTGCGCGTGAGTGGCACAGGTGTGGGTCTGTTTAGCGTCACCAACGGCTTGCGGCAAGGCTGCACTATGGCTCCTGTCCTCTTCAACATCTTCATGTGGGCAGTAGTCACCAAGTGGCAACAGAGGGTCAGAGGTATTCCTGGCGTTGGTTTCCAGTTCAGCTACCACTATGGTGAGGGTCAACTATATCGCAAGGCACGCCGGGCTGACACCGCTGCCACCGCCCTAGAGGCACAGTTCGCGGACGATTCCTCTTTGTTTGCAACATCGCGTGCTGGTGCTGAGATTGCCTTGGATCTGTTCAACTTGACCGCTTCGGAGTTTGGCCTCACCGTGAGCGCGACCAAAACCAAGTTCTTGGTTGCGGGAGCTGGCGTCACGGCTGCGGACCAGGCACCCATACAGCTTGCCGGTGTGGACATTGAGTGTGTGCCGGAGTTCAAGTACCTGGGGTGTATCATCCACTGTGGCGGCCGATCTTCGCAGGATATCAGCGCTCGGGTGGCAAGTGCGTCCCGGGCTTGTGGTGCTCTGCAGCAATCAGTTTTCAGGAACAAGAACTTAGATCTTCATATTAAACGCTGTGTGTTTAATGCATGTGTCCTGTCTCTGCTCCTGCATGGGTCCGAGTGCTGGACGCCGCTGAAGCAGGACCTCCGTCGCATGTCTGTTTTCCACATGCGATGCGCGCGGTCCATATTGGGTATCACACGCCATCGTTGCTGGGATGACCACATAATTATCACACAACCAGCTGCTTGAGTAGTGGGGTGACTCTGAAACCATCGTCACCAAGGTTCAGCATCGGCGCCTCGAGTGGCTAGGCCATGTCGCCCGCATGGACGACGTGCAATTGCCCAAACAGTTGCTGTTCGGCACCCTGCCATCTCGTCGCCCGGCACATGGCCCACGTCGGCGGTGGAAAGACTGCGCTGTAAAGGACCTTGAAGCGGACTGGTACAGAGTGGCCTGTGACTCTCGCCCAGACTGGAGGTTGGCTTACACCTGGGATGCCCCGGATCCCCTCGTACCCTCACCGGTGACTTGTTTCACATGCGCCCGGCACTTCGCACGTCAGGGTGACCTCGCTAGGCACAAGTGCACGGCTGAACGGCAGAAGCCGGTTTTGGAGCAGAGAGGTGCACGTCAGTGCCCTCGGTGTCATCGTTGGTTCCGGAGCCGCGGAGGCTTGTGGGTGTGCATCGTTGCTCCGCTTCTACCGCGTGCCCAGTACCGACAAAACCAGCTGCTGTTGTCACCGGTGACACTACCGCTCGGAGGTGCTGCAATGCTCACTGAGACACCTGCAATCGTTGTTTTCGCTCAACCCAGGGACGCAACCGCCATCGCTGTTCAACGCAATGCCACCGTCCAATGGCCAGAGAACGGGACAAGTTCCCGCATATGTGTATCTGCTCTCGCCGGTTCCGACTAGTCTCGCATCTGGAGCGCCATCGGGTGGCGTGCTCTTTCGCTCTCTCTGCTGCCCCTCCGGGGCCCACGTGACCCTAGTGGTAGTGGCTCTACAGGACAGGACAGGACAGGACAGGCGTATGTGTGTGTGTGTGTGTGTGTGTGTGTGTGTGCGTGTGTGTGTGTGTGTGCGTGCGTGTGTGTGTGTGTGCGTGTGTGTGTGTGTGTATGTGTGTGTGTGTGTGTGTGTGTGTGTATGTGTGTGTGTGTGCGTGTGTGTGTGTGTGTGTGTGTGTGTGTGTGTGCGTGTGTGTGTGCGTGTGTGTGTATGTGTGTGTGTGTGTGTGTGTGTGTGTGTGTGTGTGTGTGTGTGTGCTTGCGTGTGTGTGTGTGTGTGTGTGCGTGCGTGTGTGTGTGTGTGTGTGTGTGTGTGTGTGTGTGTGTGTGTGTGTGTGTGTGTGTGTGTGTGTGTGTGTGTGTGTGTGTGTGTGTGTGTGTGTGTGTGCGTGTGTGTGCGTGTGTGAACCACTGATTGTACTCTTTACATAAGAACTGAACTGAAAGGCGTCAACAAAAGAAACAAATAAGTGAGTAATCTCGATTGACGCTGTGTACAGCTTTGTTGTAAAATAATTTCAAAGTTTGCCAGTATCACTCATCGATACTCCACAGCTGCATTTCACAATGTCCAACACAATAAACAGGGCAGGGTTTTCTTGAAAAACTGTTCTCCATGTTCTGTGTGGAGCACTGTGGTGCTCAGGCATGCACTGCCGAAAATGTAGCAAAG